GACCAAGGGCGGCTTTGGAAATGAAGGCCACCCTGCCACCACGCTGGTTTGGACAGGGGGGTGTGGTGGAAGGTGTAGCCTGGAGGGGAGGCTTCCACTAGGGGACGGGGTCATTGGGGGAGAGCCAGGTTTTGGTGAGCCCAAGAATGTCAAGGAGCTCGTCCAGGATGAGTTCGTGGATGGTGAAGGCTTTATTTGAGAGGGAACGGACATTTTGGAGGAAAGTGTGGGTGGGTTTGCTGGAGGGAGGAGAGGGAGGAGAGAGTGATGCGGAGAGGATTTTGGGTTGTACAGGAGAGAGGGTTGTGGAGAGTGGTGTGAGTGGAGAGTTGGGGAGGGTATGTATGAGGGAGGGGGAGTTGGGTTTGCCTTAAGGAGGCGGTTTGAGCGGAGGGAGTGAGTGATGGGACACTTGGGGTCGCTGTTCTGGGACAGCCATTGCCGGGAGCCACGATGGGCCGGGCGGAGGATGCCCAGGCTGGAGCAGAGGGAAGTGGTGATGGGGTCGAGGAGAGAGAGAGAAGGTGGGGAGGGCGGTGGGAGAGAAGGACAGAGGGGGAGTAGCGGATAGAGGGGGGTGGGAGGAGAGACATAGAGGGGGAGGTGGGAGAAGAGGGATTTGGAGTGGAGGGGGAGGGGGAGGCTCGGGTCGGGACGGCAGCCAAAACGTGCATCCACAGACCGGGAGCGAGCGATCAGCGAGTCAGCATCAGCCCTCAGGCTCAGCCTCTCAGGTCATGAACGCGCTCTCTCTCTCTCTCTCTCTCTCTCTCCTTGGAAGGACGCATCCTGCTTACCTAATTCCGGAAAGTATTAAGCGCGGGTTGGTAAGAGCTACGGCTTGGGGGGAGCCCAGAGTGTGCGCTGGGGTAACTGCTGGAGTCTAACCAGTTAATACCGCATGAGCGTGAGACACGAGTCTGAAGAGCAGGTTTCTGCGCTAAATGGACAATGAGCAGCAATGTCAATGAGCTGTAATGACAGACAGAGACATTTCCCAGCTCAGTGTCGGAGCAGACGATCACTGTGACTGGCAGCCTGATACTTCGCGACCTGCTGCTTGCAATCTATCCAGCGGTGTTCGAGCTTAGCAACACAACCCCCCTCCCTCCCATCCCCCNGTTGAGACCCAGATAATTTACAGGAAAAATAGGTCAGTTAATTATCAACCAGTTCAGAACACAGCCACCTAACTGTAAACGGCTCTATCCTCGGGAGACACGTCAGTGGGAGATTTTACTCTGAGCTGGAATGATGGTGAGAGACGTTAGTAAATGAGCAGTAATTGCATCTGTTTGTCTCTCGCTTTCCTGGCTCCAGCAGGTCAGCTTGGGTTAAACAGTATGAAGAGCTGCTCAGAGATAATAATTTATTAATAATAATAATCGTCCTTGCATTTGATGCAGCGCCTTATCATGTTGTCGAGACTTCTCAGAGCGCTTCACAGGATATACGGTGAAGTGGAGTGACTGTGTATTTTGCGGGCAAATCGCGGCAGCCAGTTGCGGACAGCAGCGTCCCACAAACAGCCATGGAGTGAGTGACCACATTTTATGGGGGAGTTGTTGGTCAGGACAACGGCAGAGAGAAACTCCCTACTCTTTTCGAAAAGCGCCAGAGAATCTTAAACGTCCACCTGGACAGGCAGACGGGACCTCATCTCATCTGAAGGACGGCACCTCCGACCATGCAACACTCCCCCCCTCCCCTCTCCCCCCCACTACCACAGCACTGCAGTGCGGTGTCAGCCTAGACTGTCTGCTCACAGTCCCACCATCCTCAGTGTCTGACCACACAACCGTCGGACAGAGAGGTTACCATGCGGCCAACCGAGTGAGCCCAGGTGATTGTTTTTGTCAGCCGGGTGTCTGACACACGTGGAAACCCATCAACGGACTGAAGACTATCCAAACCGAGCTGAGAGTTCCAGGCCTCCCACCTACACACGGAAATCTCAGAGATAGATTGTTAAAATGGAATGCGCACACACTCGCTCTCTCTCTCTCTCCCTGGAGGGACGCAACCTGTTTACCTAATTCCAGAGAATATTAAGCGCGGTTTGGGCCAAGGTTTGGGGGGAGCCCAGAGTGTGCGTTGGAGTAACTGCTGGAGTCTAACCAGCTAAAACCGCAGAGCTTGCCATCGATGATTTAAGTTGCTGAAGAAACAATTTCAGAGTAACTCCCAGCAGAGCCGGGGAGAGCAGACTGACTGTCGGAGTCAGAACTTGTTAGCCTGAGGTTTGGGGACGTGTTTAATAAGCCTTTGAGTCAGGAATCTTCAAGTGGTTTGGCTCCTGCCAGACACCCCGCTTGCTCCTGTCTGCTCAGGATAGCAAATGAATTCCGTGCTGTGCCTTGAGAAGAGCGGCTTGTTCTATTAAACCTCTCATCCTCCCCTACCGCCCCCACCTCCTCCCCAAGGCCCAGATTTCCACCTGTTCTGAGCCAGTGAGACTATTCTGAATTAAAATTTAAAATGAAATGATCGAGCACAAATCCTGATCAGCCTGGCTGGTGGCTTGTTGGTGGAACTCGCAGCGAAGAGCAGTCACCGGGGGCAGAGATTCTATCCACTCAGCTCCTGTTATCACTGCAATCTAAAGCCGTGTTTAAAATAATGATAATAATCCTTACATTTGCTACAGCAAATACATGCCTGGAGGATGACCTAATGCACTTTGCAGGATTGTAAAGTATTTTGTAGGCAATTGCGACAGCCAATTTGCACACAGCAGTGTCCCACAAGCAATGGATGCCCATTTTGTTTGGGAATTGTTGGCGAGGACACCAGGAGAGAGAAACTGCCTTTAGAAATAACACAAGGGATTAAGGGATATGGGGATGAGGCAGGTTTATGGTATTAGCTGGAGTTAGATTAGAAGATCAGCCATGATTGAATTGCGGAGCAGAGGCTCGAAGGGCCGAATAGCCTACTCCCGCTCCGACATGTTATGTAAACAAAAAAAGATGTTGGCCCACTTCACACTGGTGGGGACACTCACTGTGACAGACACTCACTCTCCCCACTCGGTGGCACTTTAGCCTCTTGTTCCAGTCACCTGTGCAGCTGTCGATCACCTGCACTGATCACCCCATGTTACTAACATCTGACCTCGGACTCGCTCCCCATCAACCACTCCACCCTACTAACACGCCAGGGAGCAATTATGGCGCCCTGTAGCCTCGTGGTTACTGCACTGGCCTTGCAAGCGAGAGGACCTGGGTTTGATCCCTGGGCAGGGCAAAATCTCGGGCAAGTTTCCTTACTCCACGCGCCTCTGTTTACCCAACAGTAAGTAGGAACCCGGTTGTTAGTGGATTGGCGGATCGCTTTCTGGGGGTAATAATCCCTAAGAAAAATATTGGTCACTCAAACCACAGCTGTTTGTGGGACTCCGCTGTGCACAATTGTGCCTACCGGTTAGTGCTCCACAGGCAACAGATCACCAGCAGCCAATTCATTATAATTTTTGCAGTAAAATAATCTTCCATTTACATTTATATTTACCAGGAAGGGAAAGGGGGGGGTTTGGGGTGGGGGGAGAGGAGCCTCAATCTCCCATCTCATAGAGTCCTTTAGCTTTGTGGTTGAGCTCATCTCGCAAGTGAGAGGATCTGGGTTCGATTCCTGGGCACAGAGAAACGTTGGGCAAGTTTCCTTACTCCAATCGCCTCTGTTTACCGAGCAGTAAGTAGGAACCAGGTTGTTAGTCGATTGGTGGATTGTTTATCCAGGTGGTAACAATCCCTTTCCAAAAATAATAATAATGAAGTCACTCAATCCACGATTGTTTGTGGGACACTGTTGTGCGCAATTGGCTGCCATGTTTCTCCCACAAAATATAAAGTCAATTCATTTTACAATATACTCTGTGAAGCGCTTTGAGACGTCTTGAAGACATGATAAGGCACTGTATGAAATGCAAGGATTATTATTATACATGATTCTGGGTACTGGTCCATGGCCCGAGCCATCCTCTCCTTCAGGTCTCTCTCCTCCGGCAGGTTCTCAATGATGGGGACGACCAGAGTATCGTCAAACCTGGGGAGACAGACACAAACACCCCCCATCGTGAAACCAGGGGAGACAGACGCAAACACCCCCCATCGTCAAACCAGGGGAGACAGACGCAAACACCCCCCATCGTCAAACTAGGGGAGACAGACACAACCCCTACTGTTTGTGGGACACTGCTGTGTGCGTTTGCCCACAAAATATACAAGTATATTCTGTGAAGCCTTTGAGACGTCTGAAGACATAATAAGGCACTTTATAAAGCAAGGATTATTATTGAGGTTTAACGCAGAATAACACGGGACGCAGCGAAGACAGGAGGTTTATGAAATAACTCGTCTCCCTGGTGAATGAGGTGAGACGCGAAGGTGTCTTTCAAGGTGTCTGTACCTGTAATAATCGGCAGATTGATCCTTCTTGATCCCTTTGATCATCTCCTGGTGTGTGATCCGAAACTCCTTTCCCGGGAAGAGGAGAGTAGCCATGACGGCAGCCTTGGAGTGAGTGTGTATAACAGCTCCAGACCCTGTAGGATTAGACAGCAGCCAAGAATGATCACACACCCAGCACCAGGGTAACACTGACAGCAGGCAGCAGCCACACCTAACCTCACACGTCCCCAGCCGTCATCGCTTAATGTCACATTGAAAGACAGATGGATGTTAAAGATCCCATTGGATCTTGAAACGAGAAGGGAGTTTCTCCCTCCAGGTGTCCTGGCCAAACAACCCCTTCCCTCCCCACACAGATAAACTGATCATTTACTTCATGGCTGTTTACGGAATCCCATAGTGGTTAATGCGCTCGCCTCGCTTTCTGGGGGTAATTTGGGTGATGAACTGCCTCCTGACTTCTCCTGAATGGCCGGGCGCTAATGTTAAGATGATGCCCCTTGTGCTGGATTCCCCACCAGAGGAAACAGTTTCTCTGTAGAGACCCTATCGAACCCTTTATCATTTTAAACACCTCAGTCAGATCACCCCTTAACTTTCTAAAATCAAGAGAATAGAGAACGTTTATGTGACCCAATAAGATTTCAGCAAACGGAATAAGATTTCCACAGAGTGATTATCTCCCCTCCTGAGCGTACTTTCAAAGCCAATACACCTCGGAGCCAGTACAGCTACGAGGAGCCCCCACGTACCTCCCCCCAAGAGGAATACCCATTAGTTGGTCATTTGACAGCTGAGAAGTTACCAAATGTTAAGGCAACTTGTGTCAACAGTTCGCATGCGCCGCCTACAGGTAACTCAGTGATACCACAGGAAGGAGGGAACACTCATCTCTGTACACCAAGTCAATCAATAACAGAAAGTCTGGATGAAAAAGGCCCCTCGGCTCATCCCATCTCTTCCCTCCAGACACCCCCCCACCATCCCCGTGCCCCTCACCCTCAGCATCAAGCTGCTTTTTAAATGAGTCCCAGTTTCCTGGCCTCAACCACCCTTCATGACAACCTTGTTCCAGCAGTTGATTTTCCTCTGTGTAAAGAAACCTTCCCGGTGTCTGCCCTGAAAACGTCCATATTAACTGTAATCCCATGTCCTCTTCTACCGTCTTGTTGGATCCTAAAGTATTATTCTGGCTTTACTTTTTCAATCCCATATAAGGTTCCGTCTGAGACGTCTTATCTCAAGACTGGAGAGCCCCGGCTTGTCTAATCATTGCATATAATGTGTAGAATGTTGCAAAACAAAAGCATTTAAAGGAATTGTCCATTTGGATGAGGGTTGTACAGATTTGTGATTATTAATTATTTCTTCACTTGCTTGCACGAAGACATTCAATTTATAATTACCACTTTTGCCAAGCTCAATTTCTTACAAGCTTGCAATTTCTTGCAAGTGAGACACCTGGGTTCAATTCCAGGCAGAGGGCCAAACCTTGGGCAAGTTTCCTTACTTCACACAGAGCCTAATAATAATCCCTCCAAAACAAAACAATAATAAATTGGTCATTTTCAATCCACGGCTATTTGTGGGACATTGCTGTGCACAATTGGCTGCCGCGTTCCGCCCACAAATATACAGTCAATTCACATTACAGTCTATTCTGTGAAGTGCTCTGAGACGTCGAGAAGACATGAAAAGTGCTATATCAAATGCAAAGATTATTATTAGTATTACAACTCATTCCTCTAACACTGGGGATCAGCCTCACTGCTCTCCTCTGGACTGTCTCTAGACCCTGGACAGCTCCTTACATCACATTGACCAGAACTGTCTGCAGTGCTCACGGTGAGGCTTGACCAGCCTGAGAATGATGTCTGGGGATCTGAACTCAACTGATTTAGCAACAAAGCCCAGCCTCCTGTTCACCTTATTTATTGCTGCCTCACACTGTGAATGATGAGTCAATCACTCACACTTGCTGGGGGGGGGGAGAAATCTATAGGTGTAAAATGATGAGCGATGAGTCATTTAAGATCTATATATCTCTCCCCCACCCAGCCAGTAACTCCACACCTCCCCGATGTCATCTTTGATGTCTCGGTGTTGATGTTATGTGGGTTGTGCTTGGATCTGGGAGTGTCCTCACTGCAGACCTTAGAGAATACCTTTTTCCTCTGTTGGGAGCTGAGATGGGTCGAGGCCACATTGCTTCATTTGCACTGCGATATCAAACAGGTAGTCATAACACTCACACCTGGGGGGAGAGAGTGAGAGTGAGAGGGGGAGAAAGAGGGGAAGAGAGAGGGTGGGAGAGAGAGGGGGGAACAGAAAGATAGAGAGAAGGAGGGAAGAGAACTGAATGGGGGAGAAAGAGGAGGAGAGAGAGGATGAGAGACTGAGAGGGGGCAAAAGAGAGAGAGTGCAAGAGTGAGATAGAGAAAGAAAAAAGGTGGGAGAGAGTAAGAGAGAGGAGAAAGGGGGGGGGAAGGGACAGAGGGAGAAGAAAGGGAGAGAGAGAGTGAGGAGAGAGAGTATGAGAGAGAGAGAGAGAGAATTCACTGGGTGAATGGCTCATCAGTCCTCTGTACCTTTAGATAACACTCGAGTCTCCCTCGTGCTCAGGACTGTTATACTCCCTGGTGGGAGATCATGTATCACCCCCAACATGTGGGTCTGTGGGTGTGTGGAGCTGAGTGTGAGTCCTGGTGTGAGTGTGAGTCAGTGTGAGCGCTGGTGTGAGTGTGAGTCAGTGTGAGCGCTGGTGTGAGTGTGAGTCAGTGTGAGCGCTGGTGTGAGTGTGAGTCAGTGTGAGCGCTGGTGGGTGAGCACATGGGGTGTCATGGTTACTAGGGCCGGTAGTGACGGACTCACATGGATTTGGCTTTCTGCCAAGTCTCCCCCCAGACATAGACACCGTGACGACGCACCAGCACTGCACATGATTCTGGGTACTGGTCCATGGCCCGAGCCATCCTCTCCTTCAGGTCTCTCTCCTCCGGCAGGTTCTCAATGATGGGGACGACCAGAGTATCGTCAAACCTGGGGAGACAGACACAAACACCCCCCATCGTGAAACCAGGGGAGACAGACGCAAACACCCCCCATCGTCAAACCAGGGGAGACAGACGCAAACACCCCCCATCGTCAAACTAGGGGAGACAGACACAACCCCTACTGTTTGTGGGACACTGCTGTGTGCGTTTTGCCCACAAAATATACAGTATATTCTGTGAAGCACTTTGAGACGTCGTGAAGACATAATAAGGCACTTTATCAAACGCAAGGATTATTATTGAGGTTTAACGCAGAATAACACGGGACGCAGCGAAGACAGGAGGTTTATGAAATAACTCGTCTCCCTGGTGAATGAGGTGAGACGCGAAGGTGTCTTTCAAGGTGTCTGTACCTGTAATAATCGGCAGATTGATCCTTCTTGATCCCTTTGATCATCTCCTGGTGTGTGATCCGAAACTCCTTTCCCGGGAAGAGGAGAGTAGCCATGACGGCAGCCTTGGAGTGAGTGTGTATAACAGCTCCAGACCCTGTAGGATTAGACAGCAGCCAAGAATGATCACACACCCAGCACCAGGGTAACACTGACAGCAGGCAGCAGCCACACCTAACCTCACACGTCCCCAGCCGTCATCGCTTAATGTCACATTGAAAGACAGATGGATGTTAAAGATCCCATTGGATCTTGAAACGAGAAGGGAGTTTCTCCCTCCAGGTGTCCTGGCCAAACAACCCCTTCCCTCCCCACACAGATAAACTGATCATTTACTTCATGGCTGTTTACGGAATCCCATAGTGGTTAATGCGCTCGCCTCGCTTTCTGGGGGTAATAATCCCTCCAAAATAAATGTGGTCAATCCACGGCTGTTTGTGGGACGCTGCCGTGCACAACTGGCTGCCGTGTTTCGTCCACAAGGATATACAGTCAATTCACTTTACCATATATCCTGAGAAGTGCTTTGAGACGTTTCAACAACGTGATAAGGCGCAGTATCAAATGAAAGGATTATTATTATTTATATTTGTGGTGTGCGCTGTCACTGCACTTTACAGTAAACCTTGTGACGCGGTTGTAAGAGATGTCAGTCATTGTTGGAGGACGGGGGGCCTGGTCTCACCTCGCTTGATGTATGCATTCATAAACAGAGGTGTGCACTGACTCTTCTTCAGCTTCTTGCAGGCTGCAGGAAGGCAGATATCTCGCTCCTCAATGTCACAAACAAACATGTCGTTTGGCTGAGAAACAGAGAGAGAGAGAGAAAGAGAGAGAGAGATGTTGGACAGATGACTACTTTCTTTCTGGCCAGCTGGGTGTCTGACACAAGAGGAAACCCATCACTATGGTTAAGAATATCCAAACCAGACTGAGCTCCACATGTGTGCCATCTACACAGGGAAATTTCTGGGTGTGGAATGCAATGCACACTCTCTCCCTGCACCCTGCTTATCGAATTCCGGAGAGTATTAGCCACAGGTTGGCAAGAACCGAGGCTTGGGGACCCCAGAGTGTGCGTTGGGATAACTGTTTGAATCTAACCAGCTAAAACTAGAAGGAATTTTGAGCCACTAGGAATAACTTATGGGGGATGGGGTAGGAACTGAGGTCTATCGTAATGCTGTGCCTGTCACATACCTGAATTCTCTCCTTCTGCACCCCCGAGGGACAAATGTAGATTTCATCCCTGTGAAGAGAAATAGTCAGAGTTAGACTGTGGGGCTTATTGGCAGAGGTTGGAGTGTGGTCTCAGTGTGAGCACAGTTCTGCTCTGGGTTTACTTTGAGTTAAAGGATCACATCACACAGCCTCAGCTTCTACTCGGTTCTATCCCACATCTGCGCCACCCACTCTGCCTTCCCCCACCTCCGCACCATCGCCCGGCTCTGCACGCCTTCATTACATCGAGACTTAACTAGCAAACTCCCTGCGTGTCGGCCTCCCAACTCCCCCTCCACAGTCTGCAGATCATCCAGAACTCTGCAGCCCGTGTCCTCTCCCGCACCAGGCTCCGTGACTCTTATCACCCCCATCCTCGCCCGACTCCACTGGCTTCCCATCACTCAGAGGATATAGTTCAAGATCCTGGTCCTCGCCTTCAAAGCCCTCCATGGTCTTGCTACCCCCTACCTCTACGAGTCACTAACCCCCTTCCAGCCAGATTCATGTCCCCCGCCTCTCCTGCCCCACCATTGGCGGGCGGGCCTTCTGCCACTCTGCCCCTTCCCCCAGTCATTCCACCTCGCTGCCTCGCTTGCCTCCTTCAAGACCGATCTCAAGACCCTCCTCTTCGACCGTGTTTTCAATCACCCTGCTTCCCTCCTGCCCTCCACCCTCCCCAATCCCGACCCCCAGCTCGGGTCCAAAACTCTGACTATCCAGCGCCTTGGGATGTCCTCGCGACGTGAAAGGCGCTATACAAATGTAATTTTGTTGTTGTTTTCATTGTGTAGAAAGGAGCACAGTCTCGTTTGCATGCATTGCCATCTTAAGCCTGCCTCCAATGTCCTTGTTGCAGCGTAAAGCCAGAGCCTCTTTAAAACCTAGTCCAGTCACTGACCTCTTCACATCA